AATGTCAGGAGGAAGAAGGCCTCCCAGAAAGACAGCACAGGATGCTGAGAAGGCTCAGGGTCAGAAGACAGCCAGTGCAAAGGGCCTGGGGTAGAAATGGCCTTTGCAAGTTCCAGGAACAGAAAAGACCACAAGGATGGGGGGTGGGGTAACTGCAGGCAGAGCAGTTGTGTTTGTAAGTCCCCAGCACGGCAAAAAGCCATGAGTGGGAAGGGGCTCCACAGGAGGCGAGTGGAGCCCGAAGAAGGTGGCTGTGGCTGTTTTCAAAAAGGAAGCTACCTGAGGGACCTGCTGGGAGCCAAAGGAATTGTGCAAAGGTGTTCCTCATTTGCTTAGTGCAATCCGAACAAGGAAGGAAACAGCTGCATAAGAGGCCATCTGGTAAACAATGAGGCCACCCTGGTAAATAAACAGCTATCTGCCTGCCACATGAGTGAGTGTCCTGTGCCTCCCAGAAGGCATGTCCACAGGGTGCTCTGATCCCCTCTCTCGGTGGTACACCCTTCTAATCCTAGAACTTGGGAGGCAGGGGTAGGCAGACTTCTGAATCTGAGTCCAGCTTGGTCTACACAGTGAGTTCTAGGCCAGCCAGGGCTACACAGTGAGATCCTGCCTAAAACATAAAAAACTATTTTCACTACCAAATCCCAGGAGATGGCTCAGGAGGTAAAAGAGCTAGCCACAGGAGCCTGAAAACCTGAGTTTGATCCCTAGAAACCAAGTAAGGAGCCAGTGTGCTGGAATTCATCTGGAACCCCAGCACTCCTGCCGCTAGATGGAAGGTAGAGAAAGAGGAAGCCTCTGGAAGGTCACAGGTCAGCTAGTCTGGAGTACCCTACTCAGCAGAAACAAGTGAGACCCTGGCTCAAAAGGAGAGAACTGAATCCCGACATTTATCCTCTGGCCACACACACACACACACACACACACACACACACACAGACTGAGACTGAGAGACTAAAAACCTCTTGGCTCCACCAGGCAGTGGTGGCGCACAACTTTAATCCCAGCACTCGGAAGACAGAGGCAGGAGAATCTCTGTGAGTTGAGGCCAGCCTGGTCTACAGAGCTAGTTCCATGACAGCCTGTATAGCTCAAAAAACCTCTTGGATCCTCTGAAGGTCTGAAGGAGAAAAAAGGAGGGGGAAGGGGGCAGGGAGGCCCTCTTGAAGGCCAGGGCACAGCTGCTAAGAGATGTCTAGGGAATCAGGCCTTCCTCAGGGCAGGAGGATCAGCCCAGCAGAGTTTCCTTCTAAGAGGATGAGCTCTTGCCATCTGGAACCTTCCAGCAGAGCCTGGAGTGAGAGAGGGAACAGCTGGTTCCGGAGCAGCACGACCTGTGCCTCTATGGGCTGGCGGCTGGCCCCAGGGAATCATGGAATCCTGGGACACAGAGAGGTCCATGACTCTGGTCATGGAAAGGTGGGGTTCTGTTCTTATTGCTAAGAGATTCTGAAGATGGGCCTGGTGGAACAGGCCTGTGTCCCCAGCTACTCAGGAGGTGGTGGCTGAAGGATCCTTGATTCAAACTCTATCTGGGCTACAGAGCGTGCTCCAGCTCAGTCTGTGAAACTTAGTGAGACCCTGTCTCAAAACACAATGCAAAAAGACAGGTTGGAGATGTGGGTCAGTAATGAGAGTGCTGGCCTAGCATGGGACACTGGGTTCCATCCCAGTCTAATACGGAAGAGAGGGAGGGAAAAGAGAAGGGAGGAAGCCCTTGCTGGCTCTAGGCACATATATGCAGCTCTCTCCTAGGTAGACAGGTGTGCCCAGCCCTGTGTGTCTGTTCCTGCCGGGTGACCAGCCCAGGAATGTTTCTGTCGCGTGGTCTAAGAAGAGCCCTGAGTGCCTGCTCTCTCTGAGGATGCGGCTTAGCCAGCCTAGGCCCCACATCTGAGAGAGAACAGGCTGTCCTGGAGAGCCTCACTTCTACCCACCCACCTTTCACAACTTCCAGGAAACCTCCTTCTCCAAGAAACTGTTGCGAAATCAAAACTGTCACACCAGCCAATGTGAGCGGCACCCCATGCCACTCAGGATTTAAAATGCCACTTTCCAAGCTAGGAGCAGTGGCATTGGGCCTATATAATCCCAGTACTTGGGAAGTGGGGGCAGGAAGATTAGAAATTCAAGGTCATTCTCAGCTACTCAGTAAGTTGGAGGCCAGCCTGGCTTACGGGAGACCTGATCTCAGATAAACAAAATGAAAACAACAGGGGCTGGTGAAAGGGCTCAGCAGGTGAAGGCGCTCGCTGTCAGCCCGGTGACAAGAATGCCATCCCTGGGACCCACGTGGTGGAGAGAGCTGACTCTTGAAAGTGGCCTCTGACCTCCCCGTGCTACTGTGGCACATATAAGTGTACACACACACAATAAACAGAAAAATAAAGTTATTTTAATTAGAACTAAAATGCTGCTTGGAAAACACTGGCCACCGAATGTCCTATGCCTTAATGACCATTGGGACTATCTGTGACTCCAGGGTATCAGCAACCACTGGGAACAGACCTGCCCTCTGACCTTGAAACAGGTAGAGGAACTTGCCAACCACATCACTTCATGCATCAAGGGTGGCTGAGGTCCTTAGACATAAGAGGAGGCCAGGGCACTGCCACACTCAAAGACAGGGTCTCTGCTGTAGACTCACTGCCAAGGAGGGCCCAGGGTCCCCAGTCCTCTGCCCCGGGTGTCACTTCTGTCTGTTCCTATCGGGTGACCAGGCATGCACTACAGGACAAAGGTCCAATGTCATGCTCCTTGCTGGGTTCAGTGCCTAGGAATGCAAGGGCTTCCCATGTGGAGGAATCCCCATGGGTGAGTAGGACCTAAAGAGCCCACACCTTTAATTCCAGCACTCAGGAAGCAGAGGCAGGCAAATCTCTGTGAGTGTGAGGTCAGCCTGGTCTACAGAGTGAGTTCCAGGACAGCCAGGGCTACACAGAAAAGTCTTGGAAAAAACAAAACAAAAGCCCACTGGTGTCAGGAAGAAGGAGTGTATATAAGGGCCTTGCACCCCTCTGAGAGCCAATTCCTGTGGGTGTTTTCTGAACCAGAGCCACCTGGCTCTGTGAGAGGACCCAGTGTCCAAGGGTTTGGAACAGACCAGAGAGTCATGCAAGCAGCCACGGCCGCTGGACCCCATCATCCACTTACTGGGAGCCACCTGCTCTAACCTTTGTTTCCCAACCAGAACTTTCTCTCCTGGAGGGAGGGAGGAGCCTCACGATCTTAGGAAGATCCTGAGGGGTACAGGATTCACAGCCTGGGAGAGAGACAGACCTGGGACACACGAAAACACAAGAAGCAACTAACTGTCCACAGCCTCAGGAGACAACGAACGTGCTCACACCTCTGCAGCCTCCAGAATCATCATGGCGGTCAGAGTGTACTACTGTGAGCCAGGCCCTCTACTCAGGCCCTCAAGGGAGGTTTTTTTTTTTTTTTTTTTTTTTTTTGGTTTTTCGAGACAGGGTTTCTCTGTAGCTTTGGTGCCTGTCCCGGAACTAGCTCTTGTAGAGCAGGCTGGCCTCGAACTCACAGAGATCCGCCTGCCTCTGCCTCCCGAGTGCTGGGATTAAAGGCATACGCCACTACCGCCCGGCTTAAGGGAGGTCTTTTGACAATCCTGCCCACCTTATAGGTCAAGGCTGCACAGTGTGTGTGGGGGTTTGTGGGGGGGTGGGGGGAGGGTGGGTATGTGGGGGTGTGTGGGTGTCACTTCTCTGAAGTTAGTGCTGTCAAGAGGAAACCGCAAGGGAAATGGGTCTTCGCAATTCACTCCACAGAATAGGGTCACATGAATAAAGCAGCCTGGTAGCCTGGAGCAGAGGCTGTTCTGGAGAACATTCTAGAAAGCCATGCTAAGGACTCAGATGTCAGTAAGGGATCTGAGAATGCAGCTGGGGTATGTGCCAGTGTCACACAAGAAGGGTGCTCATCGCTGTGACTCAGGCCTCAAAGTGGAAATGGCCCTAGTGGGAAAGTGCCCAGAGCCATGTGCCCCCAGTGCTGCTCCATACTGCAGCCAACAGACACAGCAGAGGCAGGAAGTCAGGCCTGTGATTGCATAAGAGAAAACCCAGAACAGTCAGCATGACCTTTACTTCCTGCCCGTCACCACCAGGCCCTGTCCCAATGACTCTCATCTTCAAGTCTATGAGGTGAGAGGAGCTGGCAAAACTGCCAAACATAGATGCATCTTCAGGGAGGAATGGATGTCACAATCACTTGGCACTGTTGTGCTCCCATCACAGAGATTAAAAAAAAATAAACAAAAACTTAGCAAGACCAGCCTTCAGGCTGAGGTGACAGGCCAGCCTCCAGACTGAAGTGATGAAGCCACCTTCAGACTAAGGTGATGAAGCCAGCCTTAAGGCTGAGGTGACAGGCCAGCCTTTAGGCTGAGATGACAGGCCAGCCTCCAGACTGAAGTGATAAGGCCAGCCTTCAGGCTGAGATGACAGGCCAACCTTCAGGCTAAGGTGAGAGACCCGCCTTCAGGCTGAGGTGATGAGACCAGCCTCCAGGTTGAAGCGATTGTTGCCCAAAGCACAGGCAGGTGCAGGTTTCCAATCGTGGAGTCTGCAGGGCCCTGCATCTGTATGCAGCTTTCAGAGCTTTTGGGAAACTAGACCTTGGTCCTCAAAATCTTGTGGAATAAATGAGCACACACACACACCAACATACGCATGCACATATACACATACAGACACATATGCACATATAATCCATGTGAGGAAAAAGAGTTAGAAGCCTACACACCCAAAAAAATGTGCAGCAGTTTTTAGGTGATGGACAACAGACAGATGTTCTGCTTTGGACATACCTAAAATTTCTACACTTTCCACAAAGCATACATCAGAAATAGAGAAAGAAAGCTTCTGGGAAAACAAAAGAATCAGAAGAGAGAATCCCAGACTGGACCTGGACACTGTGGTGACAAAGAGTGAACCAGCTTTGAAACATAAGGAGCCGCGGGGCCCAAGGGCCAGCCCTACCTTTCTGACTGCACCCCATTCCTGAGAGAGCCCACGTAGCTTTTCTTTTTGTCCACGGGCATCACATCTGCGTAGCCGCCGTTCTCGTCACTGAAGACACCTGCGTGCACAGCTGCCTTGCAAATGCTGGACGTCTGTGAGGACAGGAGGCCGTGGTTAGTGCCAGCGCCCAGGCACCTGGTGCCGTCCATCACACTGACTCCAGGAAACAGCCCAAACCACCTTGGCTCCTGAGCGTCCCTCAGAGAACTGCCACTGTCACTCACCCACAAATTCTACTCTCATCCCACAAGTCTGAGCTGTTACGCTATGCCTGACCCTGTGGGGTTTCGGGCTTCAGCAGGGACCAAGCGAAGACCCTGCTTCTATGGAGTCGAGGGAGCCAATAAACACACAAACAAGGTTGATGAGGGAAATAAAATTAGATCACAGGAGGCAAACGGCTGGAAGAGGCTGATTCAGAGAAGCAGTGGGCAGACTAGCGACAGAGAAGTTCCAGTCACAGTCCTGTGGCTGCCATCTGTAAGCGTAGTGTTCTAGGCAGAGAGAGCCGACTATGCAAAGGCCCTGAGGTAGGAGTGAACACATCATGTCCCAGGAGGAGAAAGGAAGCTAGGATGGCTGGGATGCATGCTGGGATGAGGGCAGTGTGAACATGGGTGGGCACTCTCGGGTCCTCATAATACACTAAGGCTCAGGCTGGTGTTGGGTGTTGTGGTTTTTAGACCTCAGGTGATGCGGGCCCAGTTGATAAGGCTCTGAGTTCAAGGCTCATGGGGTCTTAGCACATTGGGTAGAAGACAGGAAGGACACATCCATCTACTTTTCATCCAGAGGCAGGAACATCCAGGGTGGTCCCAACCGAGGTCCATTTAAGGCCGAGAACTGCCAAGTCACCTCCATGGCCATGGCCATGGTGTTTTCCTCAGGCTGTGGCAACCTATGTAGACTGCATATTCCATTTCTTCCTGTGTGCTCCATGGAGATGGAATCTGAAGCCTTGTGTGCACCGACCAATTGCCCTGCCCCAGAACTGCACCCCCAAACTGTGGTCTCTGTCTTTGACGCACCATGGGACCAACTGCATGCAGTCTTGTCATGAAGATGGTGCCCCAAGCATCTTAACCTCTTTCCTGGAGGCCTTAGCTGCACTGGAGCTAAGCTATCTCCAGCCTGGTATGAGAACACGTATGCTAGCTCTGAGTGACTCTCAGTTCCGGCTATGATCCCGTTTGTCCTAACGAGGTGGGTGGTAACCATTCCTCCCACTTCTCGGGCCAGCGAGCTGGGCACACAGGGTCAGTCACTTTGCCAAAGCCACTTGAGAACTGTCGTCGCCAACTGAAGCCAGGGTGAGGGCAGGGTCTGTTCCTGCGGTCAGCATAACAATGGTCCCCAGAGATGACCACAGCCTAATCCCCAGGCCCATGAACAGCAAAAGGGGCTTTGCAGATGGGATTAAGTTAAGGAGGTTGGGGTGGGAGATTTACCCGGTTTATCCCAGTGGCCCAGTGACACCACAGAGTCCTGTAACAGGGAGGGGCTCAGAGCTAGAGCACGTCAGACTCCTCTGGCCATTGCTGACTTTGAATAGAGAAGGAGCCAAGGCACGCGGGTGGCATGGAGAGACCAGCAGAGGCCAGGGCTTTGGCTCTGTTGGCTGTCCTCTTGCCACACCGAAGGGTGGAGTCAGCGACACGCCCCACAGTCTCCGGAGGTGTGCGAATGAGGGAGGCTCACACCAGGGAGTGTCGCCTCCCAGAACCGTGACCAAGGTACTCCTTGGACAGCCTTCTTCAGCCTGGTTGAGGTCCGTCTTCCAGAACCATGAGACTCAAGAGTCACTGACACCTAAGAAGACTCCATGTTGGCTCGACCATGGCTGTCTTCAGTCAGAGCAGCTGGGATCATTACACAAGAACATCACCTGATCCGGCCTGTGGACATTCCCGAATGAAGGGAAGGGGGGGTTCCTAGAACCTTAGAGACCCCTTGCTTCTTTATTCAGAAGATAGAGTTGACTGGTGGGGTCTCTTCCTGTATAATTGTGAGCCACCCAGGGGGACTCTTCACTGGTATGTATGGCTGCCTAAACACCTGTGACTTCCTGGTGGACTGTGAGTCATCCACAGTGCTGTAAGTAACCCCAGTAAACTCACTGGTTCACCAGGCTGAACGTGGATGAAATTCTTTCTTTTGTCTATGGGCGACCTCTCTGCTTTGGGGAGTCAGTATCACATGGTCTCCTCGGAAAAGCTACCCTCCCCACTGGCCAGTTAGAGCTGCTGTCAAAAGTTCAAGTCCAGGAGCCACTTGAACACTCCCACACCCAAGGCTCAAAAAACTGAAAAGGTGTTCTTTAATGCCCTGGGGACACATCTAGTCTTCTTTAGCCAACAAAAGATGCAAGCAGGATGGTTAGCCCCAAGTCCTGGGAAGAGCCTAGGAGATCAGGAAGAGCTGTTGATTGGCAAGGTCTGGTTCCAATCCTGAGCACGACAGGATGACTGGTCCTTATGTCTTCGTGGAGAAGCGGTTTTTTTTTTTCTTATCCTGAAGAAGGATCCACAACTTCCAATGCCCTAAGAGGTTTGTGCTTTGTAAGGTTAAGCGGCAACAGACCAAATTTGTCTTCGAGGAGATGCTGGTGACATCAAGCCATCATTCAGTTCCAGAATCCCCAGGAACTACTTCTTGGAGGCGCATTATACAAGTGGCTTATTGTGCTGACTGGCAACTGGCCAATCACTGTGCCTGTCCCCCAGCAACGCTCATCCTGTCTCGGGACTGCCATTTCCAGGAGCAAGGCATCGGTTTCCACTGGGGCAGATGCCAGGAAAGGTCTCCTATATTCCCCAAGTCCCCTGGGGTTGCACACTCACCCCAAGGGAGGTGTATCTTCCCTGGAGGCCAAGAGGCCGAGGCTGCAGCCTCAGGGACAGCTCTTCACCCGCTCCCTGGAGAAATTCCAGATACCATGACGCCCACATTTCCTGGATGAAACATTCATGCAAGGCAGGCTGTCCTCACATCTCATGCCTGGAGATGCTCAACATCTCTGACTACTGCTAGACAGACACGTTCTTTCTCCTTTCCTCTCCCCACATCCTTCCTCCCTCTGCCTCTCCTGCCACATGTAGGAGCTGGTCACTGTCTGCTCATGCTGGCTCAACATTAATTCAGGGCCATTTCATAACAACTTCTATGAGGCTAGAGGCTCATCAGCCAGCCCTGGTATGTGGTAGCTGTGGGACCCACGATGGCCTAGTGGGAACAGCACAGGTAATACTGGAGCTGTGGCCAGCCTGTCACTTATTCTGACTTCATGGTCCCCCAAGGTAATGGTCATTATCAATCCTTTTTGGCAGATGGAAGACGGAGGGCCAAGAGCTAAACAACCTTCCCACAGTCACTTAGAAGGACGACAGTGCCATGATTCCACAGACAGGGGCGGTAAAGCACAAAGGGCTGTGTTCCTCAAAGCAAGGCTCAGAACTGCACACAACCTCGTGCACGGTAACTGCCATAGGCAAAGGCCAGTAACTGCCAAGCCTACTGTCACCACCACCAGGACCCCAAACCCTCAAGGACTGTCCTTGACCCCCAAGGACCTTCAGCTGCAAGTCACAACCACCAGCAGCCATGCCCCCCGGGAAGGTGCTCAAACACAGGCTCTGCAGCTCCCCTCAGGTCCACTGGGTCAGGACATCTGAAGAGGGGGTGTCCCATCTAAACACAGCTCCTCTCCAGAATCCCGATGCCCGAACAATGGGAGTTTGTCTGAGCAGTAGATGAGACCAGAAGGATGGGTAAAGGAAACTGAGGCTCAGTGGGAAAAGACATCCACACGGGTAACTCCCCCGGCTGGGGCCAGCTCGGGCCTCCTGGCCTTGGCTCTGCTGTCTGAGCCACGCCCGGACAATCCTGCTTGTAGCTCACCACAAAGGGAGCTGCCGCCAGGACAGGCACTCTGCTAAAAGGCTGTATCCGTGGCACTCGGAGGCCCTTCAAAGGTCTGGAGACTACACTCCCAAAATAAATCTCTTAGCTAAACAGACATTTTCCAAGAGGCAGCATCATTTCCCAGAATACAAAGTGACCTAGAAACACAGGCCAGCAGTGCCTGGGGATGGAGACACACGCTTCCTCCCTTCTCCTGCCTACAGCTCTCTCTCCGTCTTCACCCTCCCCCACCACGCACACCTTTCCTGATTTCTCCTTCCTTGCTACCTTCTTTATAAAGGGTTTCTAGCATCAGTGACTGCAGTATCATTTTTTGTTGTTGTTGTTCGATACTGAGCCATCACTGTGTGCCAAGCCAGAAGCCCTGCCACTTCCAAGGCTCATAGTTCAAGCGGACACACTCATTAAAGGCTTCCTTCACATGTGCCTGCTCCTGAGGGCAGAGGTACAGGTAAGCAGACCAAGGCAGACTAAGAGGAAAGGGAGCATGCAAACCCATCTCATCTCGCCATGTGTTCACTGTGGGACCTGAGCCAGGCTCTTCTAAGCCTTAATCCGCCCCCTCTTTGCAAAATGATAAGGATTCCTAAGCAAGGTGTTTTTCTAATAAAAAAAAAAACTTGAAACATAGCAGGTACTAAAGAAAAGCTTTGTGGCCTTACTATCACACAGCCCCATGTAGGAGAGGAGAGTAGTGCACCCTAGTTTCGGATTTCTAAATTTTTTTTTTGCTTTATGTGTTTAGTTGCCATGTTATTTTGCGCATACAGATTTGACTTTTATATCTCCAGAAACTGCATCTCTTGTGCTCTTGCTTGAAGAATCGTTCTGTTCCGTTCAGTACATTTCACTTTGGTCAGCTAATAACATGCAACTTTTTAAATGGTTTGTATCTGGTTGAAACAGTTTTGTCCAGTCTTTTATTTTGAAAGCATTTTAAAATCACAACCAGGAGCTTGTTTTGTTTTGTTTTCTCCTTTCTTTGTTCTTTTTGTTTTTCTCTTTTAGTTATGAGGATGGAACCCAGGGTTTCATATTAGGTGAACTACAGCAATCGATGCATGGTATTTTACTTCTTCAAGGAAAGTTCTAACTTTTAGAACTTCATCTCAGCTAAACAGCTTTCCAGGCTCTTTTTTTTTTCTTTTTTTCTTTTAAGGCTCATAAAGAAGAAGAAAAAAAAAAGACAAGGAGAAAAGCTTAGTCATGAAGGAGGCCACTGTGGCCTTATGGAACCAAGTGACTTCACGGTTACAGGAATCTGGGACAATTGAAGGCAGATGGAAGCAAAGATGGCGGTGGTGAGGGGAGAGGACCATTAACAGGATGGGGAAAGTGTGAGCGATGCCTTAGCTGGGGACAGATGATATGACCAGCTGGCAGGTTTTCGGGCTAGAAGATACCCTGGGCTGGAACAAGTCTGGCTGGCTCTGGGATTTTCACTCAAGAAGAGGAAAAGAACTCCTCAGAGGGACTGCACAGGCCTGTGGGCAGCTGGGGTAGGGGGTGGGCTCGAACCTCTGGGTCACTGTGTCCCTAAGCCCTGGACACCAGAGGGCACACACTGAGCTCTGAAAATCAACAAAGGAAAACTGGGCCTTCACATCTGTGTTAGGAGAAAAGAGAGGAGACAGGGGCTGGTGGGTATACCAGGGTCTCGCCAGAGCAATTTGTGTGTGTGTGTGTGTGTGTGTGTGTGTGTGTGTGTGTGTTTATAGCTAAGAACCAGCACAGTGAGTGACTAACCAGCACCTGTCAAAAGAATCCAGAGGAATGGAAAGGTGACTGTACTGGCTAGTTTGCTGTCAACTTGACAGGCTAGCATCTTCTGGGCAGAGGAACTCTCAACTGAGAAAATGCCTCCATCCGATTGGCCTGTGGGCAAGTCAGTAGGCCTTTTCCTTGATTAACAATGAATCGGGGAGGGCCTAGATCACTAGGGTCAGAGCCACTCCTGGGCAGGTGCTCCTAAGCCATGAGAACGCGAGCGAGCAGACCATGAGGAGCCAGCCAGTAAATGGTGGCCAGTCAGCTCTTGCCTCCAGACACCTGTCCTAGCTTTTCTCAGGGACAGCATGAGCCCTGAGAGCTGCAAGCTGAAATAAACCCTCTTCTCCCTAAGCTGCTTTGGCAGCCAAAGAAACCCTAACTATGTCAGTGATTGAATAACTGAGAGAGCGAAGCTATGAAACAAACACAAATACCTTCAAACCATGAAAGACCTTCCAAGTGTGGAGAGACAGGCTAGGGCTTCCATTCATAAAGACAGACAGTGGGAGTCCGACCCATCTATGGATGGAACACTGGAGCCATGGCTGTAGCCACAGGTGGGCTAAGTGTAACCAGAGGCTACGGCATGGGATCTCGGGTCCTAGCTTCCACACCTCGGGACTGGGTTTCTGAGGTGGCCGCTGAGCAAGCTGGCCCTACTCACGTCAGCATAGATGTTGGTTCCGAACACAGGGGCCCAATAGGATGGCTCTTCTCCACAGCGCGCAGGACACCGGACTCTGGAAATGAGAAGGAATTCTATGGAGGACCAGCAGAAGATGCGTCCTGGCCTCACCCCTTGTCTGAGTTTTCAGATTTACAGTCTTTAGATGAGGAAGCAAAGTTACCATACTGTCTTGCTTTCTCTCCTCACATTTTTATCTGCTATGTGTGTGTGCGCGCACGCATGCGTGCATGCATGCGTGTGTGTGTGCGTGCGTGCATGTGTGTGTGTATGTGCACGCACGTGTGAACTCAGACATGCCATGGCACATGTGTAGAGATCAGAGCTCAAGCTGCAGGAGTCTGCTCTGGCACCCCATGGGTCCTGGGGAGCCAGCTCAGGTGGACAGGCTTGGCAACAAGAGCCCTCACCCCTGAGCCATCTTGTTAAGTCTCCAGCTTGCTCTTTACAGACAACACAGAGGCCTCGGAATCATGGCTCAGGGGTGGAACATTTTCTTGTACACACAGGGCCCAGGATCTAGCCCAGCACTGACTGAAGCAAAGGAGACAATTGTCGTCACACACCCCCCCCCCCGCCCCATGGCCGTGGGAAACACATCCTTGTCTTTGTGTAACCATGCATGTAGAACTTGAAAATCCCATGGAAACGGTTGCAAAGAAATAAAGCAGAGAAATAAGGCCCCAGGGGAGGCAAGCTGGGCTGTGGGATTGCACCTTCCTTTCCTGGGTGTTGGCGGGGTGTGCCGTGGGTACAGAACAGAGATTGTTATCAATGAGCTTTCCCTATGTGGGGAGGAAGGGTGGAGGGCCCTCACCTCAGTGACTCAGAATATTTCAAGAACGGCACAGATAACTTGGGGCAGAAAGGGTTAGATTACCATGGTGGCCTCAGCCCAACTGATGGCCCCAGGGATGAAGAGGGCTCCTCAGACTGGAAATGGGTGGGCCCAGGTGACTGGCAAGCCCCATGCCAGGAAGAAAAGCATGAACTTTGCCTAAGAAAAGGCCTTTTGTGTCTGTTTGGAACAGTTTACCACAGGCTGAGCCCAGGGACCACAAAGCCAAGATGGCGGCTGAAAGCCACCTGGCCCAGAGACAAGCAGGATGCTTGGCAGAAAGAAAACCAATCAGCCAGACTGAGGCAGTTCCTGGAGAGGAAGGGAAGGAACAGGCAAAGAAACAGTGTGTGTGCTGTGTGTATGTGTTGTGTGTGTGTATGTGTGTGTATGCTGTATGTATGCGGTATGTGTGCTATGTGTATGTATGGTGAGTGTGTGCTATGTGTATGTGATGTGTATGTACATATGTGATGTGTATGTGTGCGTGTGCAAGCTGTGTACTCTGTGTATGTGATATGTATGTGTGTGTGTGGTGTGCGTGTATGTATGTGATGTGTGTGCATGGTGTGTGGTATGTGTGTGGTAAGTGTGTTGTGTGTGTTTGTGTGGTATGTGTGTGGTGTGTGTATGTGTCTTTGTGGTATGGTATGTGTATAGTATGTGGTATGGGGTGTGGGAGGGTATGTGCTTTATGTATGTGTATTTGTGGTGTATGGGGTGGAGTATGTTTTAAAAAACAGTTTAAGAGTCTAAGAACTCTCAAACCTGCTCCTGGGGGTGTCGGGTCAGAAAGCAGCCTGGGCACATGGACCCTGGCAAGGCTTTCTCTGTTTGTGTTTCCTGCCCTTTCCTTCTGTTTCTGACTAACACTCAAGAAATCCATTAAATTGCTGCGATGTTTCCTTGACTGCTTGAGCCAGAGTAGTCTCCATAACAACATCCTTGCAGGCTCTCCCCTGTGCAGACCTGGGGGTTCTATCCCTGTCCCTTCCAGAATCCAGTCTCCAGGCGCCAGGGCTCCCAGGACAGCACATCACCCACACTAGAGGTGGCTGTCCAGCTCAGGGTGCTGGATACACACTGCACCCCACCACACAGCAGCTACCGTGGGGCTGAGCTCTGCTCTGGCTAGAGATCTTCTCTTTGCTGTCTTTTCTGACAGGGGAGCAACTTGTAGCCAGCAGGCACATTCAGGCTCTGCTGCATCCAGGAGGGAGAGCATCCAGGAGGGGCTCTGGGGGAGCTTTAGAGACATGGGTCCCCAGGACAAGACGAGCCCTCTCTGGCGAGTCAAGGCTCAGTAAGACACAGTGGCTTTGTTATGTTCACCAAGGCTGGGTAGAGAAGTTCCCAAGCCCAAAGTTCTCTGCATTGAGGCTCTGGTGTCTGGGGAGGGCCCCGGGTATCTGATGATCTTAACCTGCCACCCATGAGAAGTAGGGGGACTTAGGGTGGGAGTTAAATATCTCCAGCTTAGATAGAGGGCTGGCTTCTGCGTCCAGCCCTGTACAGAGCCTTCTACACATGCCTGACCGAGAGGAGGCAGGCCTGCAGGAAGACACCTCAGGCGAGGGGCATCTGTTCCTCTTACCTCGGGCAGTGAGTGGCCGGCTTCTCAAAGGGACAGAGCTGCGCGACTGTGGCGTGGCAGTCCACACTCTGCTCTGAGGACAGGAGACAAAGTGTCAGGTCACAGCCCAAGAATCAACAGACTAGAGACAGCCCCACAGCCCAATGTGTCTGCCCGTGTGTACATCTCCCTTGGTCTCTCCATGAGAGAGTCCCAAGCTACCATCTGAAAACTGATGCTTGCTTTCAAAACCTGTCCCCTGTTCTGCCACCTTTGACCATCCCGGGTGTGATTCTGTGTCTACCCACGGAGAAGCTGGGGGACACTAGTGGCCACAGTGGCCCGATCGCTAGCTCCTGCCTCAGTTTCTCATCTCCCTGGCATCTATCTCTGCCAGGACAGTGATTCCACCCATGGAGGCCTTTGACCAGCAGACCTGGCATTGACCATGTCTATGGTATTCAGGTGGCAGCCACGCCCCCGTGTTTCTGGCTCACCCATTTATAGCCAAGTTCAAAGCTAAATATTCTTAGAAACCAGTGAGAGAGCAGGTGGTGGTGGAGCAGAGGCAGGCAGATCACTGAGTTCCAGGACAGCCTAGTCTACAGAGCGAGTGCCAGGACAGCCAGGGCTAAACAGAGAAACACTGTCTTGGAAAACCAAAAAAGACAAAAAAAATAAAGAAAAAAAAGAAAGAAGGAAAGAAAGAAAGGAGGGAGGGGGAGGGAGAGACGGAGGGAGGGAGAGATGGAGGGAAAGAGGGAGGGAGGGAGGGAAAGAAGAAAGGAAGAAAAGAAGGAAGGGAGGAAAGAAGGAAAAGAACAGAGCCTTTCTTGGGCACAATGGTTCAGGCTGAAATGATAACTACAAAGCAAAGATGAAGGAAGGGAGATTTCCTGGGAAACCCCAGGCTCCCCATGCATCATCCTTCTCCCTCGGGGCCTGGCTGGCTTACCTTTTACTTTGGACACTGTGAAGGAGCTAGAAGGCTTGTATTTGCTGGAAAGGAAAACATGAGTCAGGGCATTCTGAGTACTAACAGCCCACATGCCTCACACTGCCTGAAGCTTAGACTATTCCAGAGTGGGATTGCACGACATTTTTGTTTGCTTGTTTGTTTTCTTTTTCAAGGCAAGGTTTCTCTGTGTAACAACCCTGGCTGTCCTCAAACTCGCTCTATAGGCCAGGCTGACCTCGAACTCACAGAGATCCTCCTGCCTCTGCCTCTCAAAAGCTGAAATTAAAAGTGTGCACAACTACCACCCGACCAGAACCCTTCTTAGAATAATACACTTCTTTCTTGGTTTCTTTATATATGTTTCAGGAGGGTTGGAGCTCACTGTAGTGTGGGCTAGCCTCAAACTCATGGTGATCCTGCTTCAGACAGAATAAAGGTTTTTAAATGCATAAGATGAAGCAGAGGTCAGAAGCAGAGGTCAGAAGGCTAGAGGAAGTAAGATCCAGAACGTCACCAGGTGGCCCGACCCTCGGAGACCTCTGACTGGATCAGGATAGCCAGAAGTTAGTCAACTGTGCTGCATGGGTTGGCTTTTGTTTTCCTGTTTTCTTAGAATATTGCCAAAGTTTCAATAACATGTGGGGTAAGGATGTGTTTGGGAGGGGTGGGAGGGGGTGTGTGCTTGTGGGTTGCACATGCAAGTGTGTGCACACATGTGTGAAGACCAGAGATCAGCCTCAGGCACCATTCACGTTTTGGGGGGTGGGGGGCTCTTACTTGCCAGGAGCTCAGCAGGTAGGCTAGGTTGCCACTGAGTTCCAGGGACCCTCCTGTCTCTGCCTCCCCAGTGCCAGGATTACAAGTACACACCCCATACAGGGCTTTTTACACAGGTCCTTGTGTTTGCATGGCAAGCACTTTACCAACTGAGCCCTCTCCCTGGCCCTCAAAACCACTTCTACAATAAGAGATCACTGTCAGGATGCCTCCCCCCTCCCCTCCACACAGAGAACAGAACAGGTACCTCAGGGACTCCACGCCATTTTTTTGAGATTTGACAAAGAAGGGGACCATCCCGTTCCTGGTGACATCCACCAGGCCACCTCGATCATCGATGACGCCATAATGGACAGCAGCTCGGCATATGCTGGAAGACTACAGAGCAGAGAAGAGAACACAGATGCAAAGTTCCTCTCCCAGAACCATCTGAGGCTCTTGTCCCCGGCCAACCAAAAGTCAAAACTTTGGACCAAAATACGCCCCACCCAACCATCCATTCATGGCTGTCCTTAGCCCCACCCTTGTTCCTGGATGGCTTAAGAGCTCATTCTAGCTGCGTAAGCCCTTTTAGCCAAGCGTGTTGACTCCAGTCCCACAGTGATATCCAGTCCTGGTTCCCAGGAGTGGCTTCAGCAGCTTTTGAGCCACTAGACTACGCAGATTGGTTCATTCAGACGGTCCAGGTTGAGTAAGAACCGAACACCCGTCTCCATGAATCTCATTTGCTTTAAGCTACCTGGTGGGGTTTCCCATGTGCTGGCTACAGAAACTCTGGCCACACTCACACTCTCATAAAACAGAGATCCAAAAATCTTCGCCTTGTTGTTCAGACAGCCTGCAGGGCACTGGTACCTGATGGGTGGGAAAAAAGCTCATTGGTGAGAGCGCCCAGGGACGCTGCCATGTTTCCTCTCTAGCTTTCTCACTGAATTCAGAAATGTCACTGATGGGTCCCACTGCTATGAACAATTATGTGTGCTTCTGTGTGTATGTGTTGTGGGTGTGGGTGCTGGCAGGTGCCAGGGAGCTATGTGTGTGTCTGTGTGTATGTGTTGTGGGTGTGGGTGCCAGCAGGTGCCAGGGAGCTATGTGTGTGTCTGTGTGTATGTGTTGTAGGCGTGGGTGCCGTCAGATACCAGAGAGCTGGTGGGATCCTTGGAGAGGAAGTTACAGGTGTTTGTGAGCCACCAGGGTGAGTGCTGGGATTCGAACACTGGTCTCCATTTAGAGCAGCCATTCTTAACTGCTGAGCCATCTCTCTGGCCCATGTGTTTGTTTTGAGACTGAGTCTTACTTTGTGGCCCAGACTGGTCTGGAACTCATTATGTAGCTAAGACTGGCCTCAAATACATGACGATCCTCCTGCCTCTGCTCCTCAGTGTTAGGATGACAGCTGTACAGTACCCAGTGTATGTGTGGGGGGTGCGTGAGAATGGTAGCCAAAGGTCAATGTTGGGTGTCTTCCTTACCACTCTCCACTTTATTTTCTGAGACAAGTCTCTCTCTGAACCTGGGGCTCCCCAGTTAGGTATGCAGACTAGTCGGGAAATCCTCGCAATCCCCCTGTCTGTGCTTCCTCCCTCCGGCCCTGGGGTTACAGGCTCACACCCAGCTTTTTCATGGATGCTAAAACTCTGGTTCTCACAGGCACAGAACAAGCCTTCACCTGTCTGGAGTCGTCTCCCCAGTCCAAGGTTTATGGTTGTTGAATGAAGTTAACAGAGCAGTGAGGTTCCTGTTCACCACAGACTAAAGTCTAACCTATAGGAATGCCGTCAAGTTCATGTTCACAGACCCTCCAACTTCCCTTGTACATGCCAGGTACAAAGTCAGCAGGTTCGCAGAGTGGTGGTGGCGCCCGCCTTTAATCCCAGCACTCGGGAGGCAGAGGCAGGCAGATCTCTGAGTTTGAGACCAGGCTGCTCTACAGGGTGAGTTCCAGGACAGCCAGGGCTACACAAAGAAACCCTGTCTTGACAAATCACAACCAAAACAAAATAAAAAAAAAGTCAGTAAGTTACCCAACTGTTCATCAAGTATACCTGGACTCGTAAGGACTAGACAGTTGGCAGCAGGTGATAAAGGCACAGTCAAACATAGCTTTGTGTCACCGTATGTCAGCTTGTTATGTAGCTACTCAAAAATGAAAGGTCTGAGGAATGCTGGTGGATTCTGGAGAATAAGCAGCGAACACATGAGCAGGACTGGCCTCAGCCACATGGATAAAAAGCGGGGCATGCAAAGCTGAGGGGGTTTTGGGATGCTTAGTATTTTAATGAATTACTCCTTTCTTGCATTACACAATGAATTAAAATGCCTTTTAAAGGCAGGGGTTGTGGAGAATCCTCATGGATGTTACTTCTATGGTGAGGCTAGGCTGCCATAGTTTATGATTTGGGTTGAGTTACCTTGGCTGCCTGGAGGCCTCTGGAGCCACTGTAGAGAAACCCACAGCTTCGTCCTGCCCAGGGAATGCCACCTCACCGTCTTCTGAGCTTAGACGGCTCCAGAGCGCTCATGAAATGTGGTCTGAACATACCTGCTCGCTACCCAGTTCACCCAGTGCAGACGGTGGATGCCGCCTTGGGTTTGGGTGTGGTCATTCCCCCACATCTGGCTTGTGTCACTAACACTCGGTGGTTTCCTCCCACAGGGCAGTACTGCACAGATGTCCATAACTGAGCAGGGCACCCGATGGGTGTGCCTGTGAGACAGCCACATCCTGGCTACTGTTTCATGTCACTCCTTGTGTGAATGAAGGCCTCTCCCACAGAATGGACTCCAGGTCCATTGGGTGATATGGAGAAGCCACCTTCTCCTTCCAGCCCCAAAGAACTCAGCTCAGCTCTTGGCTGACTCAGACTGTGCTGGCACCCCTGGGCAGAGGCCTTCAGTGACACTCTCCAAACACTCCCCTAGACGAGGCTAACATCCCTCAGGGAACAGGGCTCATGTTCTGCCTAGGGAGGGCATCCTGCTAAATCCTTAGAGACTGCAAGCTGCTGGCTAAATTCCAGGTAGTTTGAAGCCACCAGCCCCAAGGGCAGAATTCACACCGGTGCCCATCAGGGTTGAGATACACTGGCAACAATAAGAGATTTCATGTCAACTTCTCCCATAATGCACTGCAGGTTCTCCCCCTGTCCCCGCAGGGTGTAGTATCCTCTCTGGACCAGAGACAAAGTACTTGGCAGTACTGTGTGCCCAGCAGGGTTATTTTAGGATACACTGGTTATTTTAGGATACCACCCCCAGTTTTGGTTGTCCCCCACTCGCATTTGGTGGAGATCAAGGTCTTAGAGGTTGCTCAAAATTCTCTAATATACAAGGTATCCCACCTTAATAATGTTTTAATGTCTCATGTACCCTAGGAGCAACAGGTGAGAAACTCTGGTGACATGTAACGGAGACAGAACATTCGTCAGTCAGTCTGAGGTAGTGGTCAGGAGTAACAGTGGGTGTCATGGTTGGGGGACAGCAGGATGCCAGAGTCAGGAGGACTGAGGAGTGTCATGGTCAGTCTAATTAGCATATGGCATGTATGGTAGCTTCTAGCTGAGTCTGGTGTACATTGTGCTAACAGTGTGAGTACCATTGCCCCATGCTTCCGGGAGACTCAGAGTAGGCAGCAAGGCTTTAGCAGATCTTGTGACTGACTGTGTCTCTGTAGGGTCCCAAGGGCAGCTAGCTCAGCCCAGCCCAGCCCAGCCCAGCTCAGCCCAGCTCAGCCCAGCTCAGCTCAGCCCAGCCCAGCCCAGCCCAGCCCAGCCCAGCCCAGCCCAGCCCAGCCCAGCCCAGCTGGGCCCTCACCTGTTACATGTGGATCCCTTGCACGTGTCCTTCATCTTGGTGTCACAGCGGACCACTTGGGCTAGGAGAGACATGGGAATGGGACTATGAGACCAGGAGGGTAAATCTGGGTTAGAAAACCCCTCCCGACTATTCCAAGGGACTTTCTGGAATGCTCTGGAGTCCACACCATTACTAGAGAAAGAGCAATGACTCCTGGCTCTGGGCTTCTATGGGAGGCTTGAACAGCAGAAATAAATAGACTTCGTTTTCCAAATAAGAATATGGGGTTGCACCCCAGCCAGGTCTGTCCCACCCTCTCCTGTTGCCTGGTTCCAAGCTCCCTTTCTCCACCAGCCCCTAGCAAAGGGAGCTGGGGGCAAGCGCCCCAAAGGCTAGGAACACCACTCACTCATGAAGCTGACGGCTGGGGTCTTCTTGGGCTTCGAGGGTCTTACCACCCTGGGTTGAACCCAGACATGTTTTTCCTCGGGAGCAGGGGGCGATTCCACCTCGTTCATCTCATCCACCTCCGGTTTCTGACTGTTAGACTCTTCTAATGGTGGTAAGGAAGAAGAAAGAGAACATGCTGCATTCAACCACAATACTCTCAGACTTTGTTTTGTTGTTAAGACTGGATTTTACCGTGTAGACGAGGCCAGCCTCAAACTCAGAAATCCACTTGCCTCTGCCTCCCCCATGCTAGGATTAAAGGTTGGTGCCACTGGAGCCATCTCTAAAAGGCTCTTTGGAAAAAGCAGCCTGCAGACTAAACCCTGAGATTTGGCTTCACAAAGACTCGTTTCAGCTAGAGAGAGGAGGTTACTCCGGGGACAGGCCTGCCCAGGTGGAATTCTACCAGCCCTGGGAGGATGGATGGTCAGCTTGCTTCTATGTTTACCTTGGAACTCAGAGAAGTAGCCCTAGGTGCGGTGGGGTGCAGCACCCACACTTGGAAGTCAGAATGGTCACTTGTCCCACCTCCTCTTCTACACAATCATCTGTCCCTGTCCCTAACCATAGCCTCAAAGGTGTAGCTCTCTCCGAGGTCCCTCTGATTTCTGGTTTTGTTGGGGAACAGTCACAGAGACTCATATCACACTTCTACCCCTAGTGACAGGGACCACTTGCCTGGCTCAAGCCATGGCTCAGCAATGGAGATTTATAGTCTTAGTATTGGACCTAGCCACACATAGTGTGGTTCATGCCTGTAAGCTCAGCATGCAGGAAGCCGAAGCAGGGGGACTGCTTCAAGTTCAAGGCCAGCCTGGCTATAAAGTGAGTAACACGATAATCTAGCCCACATGATGAGACCCTATGCCTTAGTTGGCTTTCTATGGATGTGATAAACACCATGGTCAAAAGTAATTCGGGAGGAGAGGGTTTACGTGGCTTACAGACAACAGTTGGTGAGGGAAGCCAAAGCAAGTACCCAGAGGCAGGAGCTGAGGCAGGGGCCATGGAGGAGTGCTGCTTACAGGCTTGCTGTCTGTGGCTTGCTCAGCCTGCTTTCTCATACAACTCAAGACCACCCGTCCAGGGGTGGTACCACTCATAGGAGGCTGGGCCCTCCCACATCAGTCATTAATCAAGAAAAGGCCCCCACAGGCATGCCTACTGGCCAAGTCGACAGGGGCATTTTCTCAGTAGAGGTTCCCTCTTCCCAGACCACACTAGCTTGTATCAAGTTGATCCAAAAACAAAAACAAAACAAAACGCCTAACCAGTATACTCTGTCTCAAACAACTTAAAGGGCAGGATGTGTGGCACAGACCTGCAATCTTCACATTACAGAGGCTGAGGCAGGAGGATTGTGAGTTCAAGGCAGCCTGGACTATATAACGAGACACCATCTCAAAAGGCCTGGTACATAGAGCTATCTAAAGCTTCCAGCTCCTGGTTTAAAAGAATACGGCTTATTCAGTCTAGATCTTTTTCCACCCAGAGCATCATGTGCTCCTCCATCCCCATGATCATGCTCCGACCCCAGCCCCTTCCAGAGCGCTTCACCTCATGGGCTGACCGTGCCTCCGAGCGTCAGTCAGCTCGCTAACCTCCGTTCTCATTTGGATGGGCAATAGAAGCGGGACCACAGGGACACCAAACTCTGACCTCCAGCCAAAGCAGAGCCTGAGGGTGGGCTGGCCCTCCTGTGCCACCTGATACATGATGAGTCCCCAGGTGGCCCCACCAAGGACCACAGTTCTCCACAAGTGTCTGTGTGGCAGAGCTGGAAAGCACCTTCCACACACCTCAGAGAAGGCACAGAAGCTCTGTGATGGCCAGTAAACCCACTGAACACACCTCACAGCTCAGCACACCCACCTCAACCTTGCTGATTAACACTCCCATGGGCCAATGAGGGGGATGAGTCTCCCACCCTCCAGGCTGGCAATCTCCTTCATAAGGAAATATTTTCTCTGGTACAGAGTTGGACTATCAGTGGATACGCTTGGGCCAAGACTATTTCAAGGAGCACCCACAGGTCTCCCTGATTCCATAGAGGCCCATCATCACCAAGGGCTACTGCCTCTCCTGGAGCAAAGGACTGTCTTCACAGAGGGACATCCTGGATCTTGATGTCCTCTTGTCACCATGACAGGTATCCAAACGAAGGGTCAATGAATGAGGCGCCCTGTCTTTCTAGGTGGCGTGCTGGGCAGTGTGTGGAGACTGATTTATCCCAGGCCAGCCCAGGCCTGAGAGGAGAAGGGATAGGGAAGGCGGAGGTGGAAAGACATGCACATGGCTGGCTGAAATTTCATCTTTGCTCCCAGGAGCCCCAGCTTCATGACCCACTGCACCCCCAACACCCCATACACAGTAGAAGCTCAATAAAATCCCAAGTGAACGAGAGACTCAACCCCCACCCCCTGAGAGTCAAGGAGAAAGGATGTCTACCAATAAGGCCTGAGGCTCCCAAGGTTGGAATTCCCAAAGCCTAGGAGCACCAACCCTGGCCTGAACCTCCATGGAGCCCCTGGGCTGCATAGGGAGCCGCAAGGCCTGTTCCATCAATGCAGCCATTCACGGGCCCCTTGCTGACAGCCAGGCTGTCTGGGAGTGAGCTGGCTTTAGGATCTGACAACTCAAAAGGCCAGTTTTACTGAGAAAATCTAGTTTGGGAGGGTCTAAGGTAGCTCACTCTTTCATAACAAGGGCAGGCAGTTTTATATCATAGGGATGTGTGACCCAAAGGGACTTGGGTACTTCCTGGTAACCATAACTACATAGATCAGGGTCTATTCATGCCCAGGATATTCAACACACACAGTCTGCTCCAAGCCAAGGGTCTCAGGACCCAGGGTATTGCCATCCCACCGGTTCCCCTGGCTTTGTGATTGGCGACATCTGAGCATCCAGGTCCTGACCCCACTCCTCATCTTTCTGCCATAAGAGACATGGCAACCACTTCACATATGAGGAAACTGAGGCTCAGAGAGGCAAGGAGATGTAGAAGGGACCCATCTGGGCTCACAGAGCTGGGATGTAGCTGAACAGAAAGTTGGGTACCTGCTGGGCCTGTTATCCCCTATAGGGAGGTACTGGAAAATAGGAAACTTCTATCTTTATCCTTAAATCCTTGTGTCCCCATTATAGGTCATGGCCTTAAGGGTGCCACGGCACACCCTTATTTAGTGGCTTATGTAGATAAGCTGAGTTAGGGGAGGTTTTCTGCATGGTTAGCTAAGAAAACGACCATGTCTGCCAAGCAAAGTTGGGTGTTTTCCATCACAAATAAAGAAATAAGCACATGGGCACCGTGGGATGGGTAAGCTAGTGTCTGGGGCCTCTGTGTGCTCTGACTTCTTGAAAGAGCCCTCTGTGGAGGGGAGAGCCTGTTTATCCACCAGCACACAGGACACACCTGCCCAGGGCCCTGGAGTGCGCCAGCAACTGTAAGACAGGGCAGCCAAGTTCCTGAGGAGTGTGGGGGTCACGAGAACTTGGTGGCAGGTGCATGTCTGTCTGATACCCAGAGACTCCCTGAAGATGGGGACATCAGACCTGTCTCCAGGGAAGAGCTGTCATGGGGACCTGGCACAAGGCAGTTCATGGGGCAGACTGCAGGCAGGATCATGCTCTCAGGGATCCCAATTGTCCCTGCTTCTGTCCCTGTCCTCTGGTAGTGTTTCTCACATCAGTTAGCTGGAGTGGTAAAGAGCCTGGCCTTCTGTGAACTAGGATCTCTGCTATTCCACATCCTAGAGCTCAACAGAGTGACCCCACGTCCATCTCAGGGACGGAACAGGTCAGAGAGTCACTGCTGCAGGCCCACGCTCCCATGCGGTAGAATCTGCCCACTCCCTTCCCAGTCAGCCCTGGGCAGCTAGTAGAGCCATACAGAACAGATATCACCCTGGAGAACCCCCACACCAACCTTCTGAGAGTCAGAACTACCCCCAGAATGTCAAGAGCATGTTAAGCTGGAGAATCTGTAGTGTTTACAGTGGGAAGAAAAATGGATGCTTTCTAAAGCCCTTTGGGAGTCAGCAGTCATGGATGGAAAGCATACTGTCCCCAGGCAGCCTTGACGGCAGTCACTATCAATAGGATAAAGGAATGGGTTCCAGATAAGGGAATGGGTTCCGGACAAAGGCACCAGTGCCTGTGGCCGATTGGGTGAAACTCAAGCCACTTGCTTCAAGTTTCATATTAATTGCCTGGATTTTGCCAGGTAGTAGTGGTACACGCCTTTAATCCCAGTACTTGGGAGACAGAGGCAGGCAGACCACTGTAAATTCAAGGTCAGTTTGGTCTACAAAGCAAGTTCCAGGACAGGCAGGAGAACTACATAGAGAAACCCTGTCTCGAAAATCAAAAACCAAAACCAAACCAAAACAAAACAAAACAAAACAAAACAAAACAAAATCACCTGGATTTTATGTGCAGGTTTTGTTTTGGGGAGGTCCCAAGAGGTCAAGCAGAGTATTGCTATAAAACCTAGGCTGATCTCAGATTTGTGGCAATCCTCCTGCCTCAGCTACCCAAGTGCCGGGATGACAAGCGTGAGTCACCACCTCTGACTCACAACCCTCTGTCTTAAGCAGACGTGCTGAGGAAGGTGTGGAGGGAGTCTGAGTCCAAGGCCATACCCACTGTCCACTGGGGCCAGGCCAAGGAGCTACCTGCGGGATGGGGCATTTCAGGACAGTGGGGTCAGCAGGTGTCAGGGACTAAGTGCAGAGAGCAGAGGGGTGCAGACCTAAAGGGTGGCGGGGGTGGCAGCAGGGCAGGGTCTGAATCTGACTCCGTTTCCATCTTAGCCATCACCACCTGCGGCTCCAAGGGCCGGAACCCACACCAGAGCAGGAGTCCCCGAGCCACCTACCTTGGTAGCATAGGTTGTTCCGGCAGCCGCCTCCATAGGTGGGTGGGCACTCGGAGCAGGGACGACCATGCTTGTAGGGGGCCTCACCAATCCAGTTTCCCCTGGAGACAAACCAGAAACACCATGAGCCACATCCTTTAGGCCCAGGGGCCCATTAGGGAACCTCAAACAGAGTCCCTGATGTTGGGAGAAGGACGCAGTCCTGGTACAGAAACAGCAGCTCCAAGGCCTCCCCCTCCAGTGCCAGTCATCCAGAGGGCTCTGGGCACCATGATGAGACCCTGTCACTGAGTACCTGCTTAAGGAATGGTTCCCTGGGTGACATATGCAACCCCAAACCCATCTGAGCGACCTCAGACAGTGTCCCCTACCCTGAGCCATGGCTCATTAATCATACAGTGGGTAGCCACCAGGACAGTCCTTGACCAAGGCTCTTGATAGCGTCTATAAAGCAAAGTGGCCCACCAGGGTGGTCTGTAGTTGCTTTCGAGGGAGGCAGGGGCTCCTGTCAGAGCCACCAAGAGACCGCACAGGCTCCTCTGTGCACTCTGTGGTCTACTCCAATGGCCGAAGAGTGATGACATCACTGAGTCAGGGAGGGAAGTGGCCCACACTGGGGAGGGGTCTTGCCTCTTTCTCTGTCACTTTCAGTACACCCTCCTCTCTACAGATCCACAAAGACAGCTGCAACAACCTCTGGGCATTGGTGTGGACCCCACAGTTCTAACCCTGCGAGTATTTGTGCTGGGGACACAGTGGGGGACACTGAGATGAACCCCAGTGGGACATCAAGCAGGGAATGAAACACACTCCCTCACTGTCCATGGGAGAGCTCGTTCTCCTCAGGAAACTGAGGCCCCACAGGGGTTTGTTCTGCTCCCCAAAACCAGTTCTCCTCAACACACTTGATTCTGTTTCCTGACAGGCAATGCCTCCCTGGTCACAATGAAGCCCAACCTACCCTGTGGTCACATTCCAATGTGGACCTTTAGGAAAGTAATTAAAGTTAATTAAATCAGGAGAGTGGAACTCTGCCCCAGTGGGACCAGTACCCTCACAAAAAGAGGCCCAAAGAGCATGCTCACTTTCTGCTGTCTCTCATGGCCATGTGGGCACATGGCAGGAAGATGGACACCTATGTGCCAAGTATAAATGCCTCCAGGCCTCCACTTCAGACGTCCCTTCCAAACAAGACAAGGACGAGCAAGTGTCTGCCATTAGGCCCTGGAGTGAGGTGGCCACTACAGGTCCTAGGCTGGTTAAGCAGAAGACTGTGACAATATGGTGCCTTTACCAGGAAGGAGGAGAGGAGAGTGCCCTGGGAGCTGGAAGTTTAATTTCTGTTAAAAATCTTTTTACATTTATTTATTTAGTGTGCATCTGTGTGTGCACATGAGAGCTGGTTTTCTCCTTCTGCTACAGGTCCTGGGGATCAAATTCAGGTCGTCACATCAGGCTTGGGGGCAAGCCTCCTCACCCGCTGAGCCATCCCACTGGCCCCAAGAGTTACGTTTCTGATCAGAGCTGCTGGCTTTTTCTTAAACATATTTAATCCAAGCTATCCCTCGCTTTCCACCTTCAGCTGTGCTAGGGACTGCCTCAGGAGCCAGAGCCTTCTGGGGTGTGGCTGTGCAGCTACTGCCCCAGCAACCCAAAGCCACGCGCCATGGTTTTCCTACAGTTTTTCCCTCCCAAGCCCACAGCTCCTGACCCCCACCTCATTCCACCTCCTCACACCACCTGCTTTATCCCTCTAGTAAGTAAGTATGCCAGAGAGCCTGCCACAGCGCCTGTGCCCGTGCCAGGATGGTGACCAGCATCATCGTTCAAACCGCAGACTGCCAATGGGTAAGTGGATATGTGCTCTGCACAGATTTGTGCGGTGAGCTGTTGGGTGAGGGACACACTGTGACAGGGATGCTCAGGCCTCTTCAGGAAGGAAGTCAAAGCTGATACAAACCAGCCAGTCTGTGGCTCCATTTCAGAGAAAACAGCACTCACCCCACGCCTCCGTTATCTTTTACTCTCTCTTGCCCACCCTCCTCTCTCTCCCCACTCTGTCTCCCCTCCCACAGCCAGACAACAGCTACTCTTACTTGGACAAGTGGCTGTGGGAGATGACTCAGAAAACCAATTGGAGTAATTGTGGTCCCCCTTGTCTAATTCTGGCCAAAGATGTTTTGTGGGGAAATGCCAAAGGAGACAAGCCATTCCTACACTCCTGCTATGTGAAGTAGAATCGTACGGGAGGGCAGAGTGCTGAAACTCTGCAGCTACCTTGGGGCCATGAGGACCTTAGACAGGGCCCAAGTCCTTGCTAACTCTGAGTCATTCCCTCACCTGGAAGCAGGGATTTCTACTCTTTGTTACTGAGGTAACTAAAGCTTCACTCTTGAGACCTGCTGCAGCCAGTTCCCCCGCGACAAACAAATGCATCCCAGCTGGCTTGTGTGACCCAGACGACACAGTCTTACTTGGGGGAATAATTGCAGACAAGATACACAGCATTCTCCCAGATGTCTCCCCAGACGTTTATCCTCCGACAGGTGTGTACAGCACAGCCAACCTTGTTGGTGGTGGCCCAGACCATCTGAAAAGACAGCACCGTGTTACAGCTCAGGGGCAGGGCATCCCAGGGCAACTCTGGTAGGCAGGGCGCCAGAGAAGAGCCATCCACTGGGGGGAGTGCACGCTGCCTTTTCACAACACGCTATATGCTCAGCCATGTAAATTGCTATAGAAGTTTCCAGAGAATACTCCAATTTTTTCCTCCCGTGAACTCAGCCAGAGCAGACAGTGGGACCCAACCAGTGTGCTCTGAGAAGCACCAAATGCAGTTAAGCACTCCTGCATTTGCCTTAGCAGACACGCTCCCCAGGTCTGGGGCACCCAAATTACCTGTGTGTAGTGGGTGCACATGGCACCTGAGCAGCGCTCTGGGCACCACGGGTTGCACTCGTGGGGGTAGGGATAGGTGTAGTCCTTCACCTCGTCATACCAGGACTGCACGTGGAACCCAGGAGAGCGGTACCTATAGGGACAGAAGCGGTGGGTGGTCCATAGATTGGGACCCGGGCGCCCAACCCTGCCAGCCCCTGCCAGAAACTACCCCATCTTGAGTGGCCTCCAAGCTGCCTGCCTGCGCAGGAAAGCTTTACCCATGTCACCTTAATTATGTATTCATTTTCAAGCACCACGGGTGAAATACAAGCAACTCAAGAACCCAAGACATCAGACACACTGCAGCCAGGACCTCCTTGATTTAAGATACGAATGTGTGTAGGGCAGGCAAGGGGCTGCAGGCAGGCCTGTCAGCTCAGCTAGTCCAGAGGTTAAGGTCGGAAGATGTCAAATTCAAAGCCAGCCTGGGCTCCAGAGTGAGTTCACTGGACAATTCAGTGAGAACTTGACTCAAAAAGTGAGAAAAGGGGCGGGGTGTGGCTCAGCCATAGTGATTACACGTGGGAGGCTCCAGAGAGAGAGAAACAAGGAGGGAGGGAGGACAGAAACAGAGTCCGTCAGGGCCAAGCAGGGGGATTTGCAAGGAGACAGAGAGGAAGATGGTAGGCATGCGTTATAGGTTCACTTAAAGCCGAGGTAAAGGCCGGCAGACATTAAGTGAGAGGCTGAAGAGTGACACACAGCTAGGACACTGTGGGGAAGCCACTGATCTGTGGCCACTGCCCCAGGCTGGCCTTGAACTCAAGGTTCTTCTGTCTCCTCTTCCCGAGCACTGGTGCTCTGGGTATGAGCCACCGGGCACTCACTGTTATGTTTTGTTTCCATCAGGAAGAAAAAGAATAACTCGCCTATGAACCCACAGTCCCTTGGTCACCAGCAAGTGTAAACAGAGTGGTTTACAGAGAATGACCGTCGGTGACAGCGCTGCGGTCAGCCAAGCACTTTGAGGTCTTGTAACAATTACTGCCTGGGCCCAGCACCAGCAGCCGCGGTCAGCAAGTCCCCAGGACACAGCCTCCCACCCTGGTCAGCCCCTCGGAGGCACGTGCCATGAGGAGCTAGGGCAGAAGTGGGTCTGCCTGTCACTCCTAGGAACACTGTACCCGTGCCAGCATGTCTGTGCCTCTGATCCCATCACTGTCTCAGGGCCCCTGGATGGCCTCAGAAGAGGACCAAGCACCAAGCCGAAGCCATGGGGACAGAAAGGCTGTATGTGGGTCTGTGAGGCAAGCCATTCTCGGTCGAGGAGACACCATGAATCTAGAGGAAATGGGCTGATAGGAGGAAAGGAATACCATCCAGGGTGGGGCAGTCTGGGCGGCAATTGGAATTTTGTTGCTGTCTGGCCAAGCAGTAGGCCGTAAACAAAGAGCTGAGCCTGTCAGGGCTGCAGGTTGCCCCATTAAGTGGTTTGTGTGTTCATGATGCTGGGGGCAGAACCCAGAGCCTCGAACCTTCCAGGCAAGTACTCAACCACTCCACATTTGACAACAGGCAGGAGCGCCAAGCCCTCTGTGCCAGTCACCCTGCAGCAGGCAGATCACTGTCAAGTGGGGGGACGCTGCAGCTTGGGGCGCCGGCCGCTCTTACCTGCCCCAGTGCACGGCCAGGTTCTGCCCGATGGACACCAAGAGGCTGGCGGGCCCGTGCTCCCACAGGCACTCCTGTGCCCATGCGGCCGCGGATCTCTCCAGCTCCTCATCCCAAGTCTGTAGGGGAGAGAGATGGCAGAGAAGTCAGGAGGGAGAAGCAGAAAGCCCAGTCCACAGCTGTCAGAGTTCTGGCTGTGCTCTAACAAGAGGCCTGTGAGCCCAGCTTCTCAACATGAGTGAGTGCGAAACTGAAGGGGTGGCAAAAGACAGCAATCAGACAGACACGGAGAGGGCAGGTGAGCGTCCTGGTCACCCTCAGGCCATCCTCAGGAGCTGAGAGCCCACCCGTACCCTCGGTGAGAGCCCTGGGTGCATCCAAGTCTCTCCTTGCCTTCCTGCCACGGTCCTGGAGAGTGCCCGCCTTATTTCATTTTACGGAAGACAGCCAAGGCTGTGAGAAGCCAGGCTACTGGGTCACAGCCACACACCCAGCTAGTCTAGAGCTAGGCTCTGGCTTTAGGTCTGTGGGACCCACTATGACTCTCCAGGAGCACCATGATATGTTGTGGGGGGGAATCAGAAATCCAAGCACCATGCAACTCCTCAGAGGCACCCCACTTGTTTCCTTTCTAGGGAACAAGATGTGGGAGGTGGTAAGGTTTCTCCATTCTGTTCCCTCACACCCTTCCCTGCCTATGAGCTCACTCTTCCTAATCCCACTGGCGACCACCTCAGCCTTTAGCTTCTGTTACTGCCTTGAGCCCCTCATCCCCCTTTTGGGTTCCCTCCACCTCCTGGCTCTGCTCAACTTGTCACAATGTCACCTCTGGTCAGCAGTCCCATGAGCACAAGGTCTTCCTCTGGGCAAGCACACAAGCATATGCGCAATAGTTAGTTAATCCTCAGGCATGCGGAGGACTGAAAGGTAGGGAAGGGAGCCCTGTCCCCGGACACTCTCGTGTTCACCGCACACATCAGGTGTGGAGACAGGCAGCCTCACCATGGATGTCAAGGGCCAGACCCTTCCAGATCACTCGCTCTGGGTCTAGCTTCCCATGTGCAGCTTGGGACTAATGCTTCCTGTTCTCCCAGGTTCCCACCAGGGTCCCTCGGGTCTTCATGCTCGCACCTCCAACCCAGTTCTCCATGGCACCTCTGGTGGAAGACACACTACCCCATCCACCTGCCCAGGGAGTGCTGCTGGGGCGTGGTCCCCCAGCAGGAGCTGTCTCAACCTTGGCAAGGGGGTATGAGGACGGCCTGAAGCTACCATCGACAACATAGCCTCTCTGAGCAATCGCTGGAACCCCATCCATGTGTGAATGGTACCCAGCCACCCTGGGCAGTGCCTGGGAAACAGAAGGCTTCAATCTCTCTAAGTTTTAAAAGCTACCAAAGTAGAGGGTCTAGGCCATTGAGCAACAAGAGACCCTGTGGGACATGACCAGCCTCTCCCTGTCCTCATCCCCACACTGATTCGGGAAAACCAGTCAAGGGGGACATTTCCACCTTGGTCGGAACTCAGGGTCAAGTGACCACTTCACCTGGCTACCCAAACATCTTGCAGCAAGAGCTCAGGAAGAAAGACCTCTGAGGCTTCTGTCATCCTTTGCAAAGACCAAGTATCTGTCAGAGCAGCCGAAGAAGGAGACAACCCAGGACCCAGGGTGCCCTTTTACATTTCTACACCCCCAAAAAAGCACACAGCCACCCCACGTGCTGACATCTTGGAAGACTGCCCAAATTTCCCAAGGGAAAAGATGGGTGTTTGTACCATGTTCCCCAAAGGTAGCCTTGCTCAGGGCCCACATAGCTGGCCACTCATTCCAGAGCTCGAGACCAGGAAGGACCCATTAGTACCAGAGTGGTCTCTAAAGGAAAGTCATTGGCTGCTGATGGAGGAAGTGGGACTGGGACCTGGGGGACAAGGACACAAACAGGGCTGAAGAGGGAGAGAAGCCGGACCTTGACACCACTGAAGGAAAGAGAAATGAGACATCAGAACAGCACAGGTGAGGGAGGGTGTGGTTCGGTAGGTAGCATGCTTGTAGCTGAGCTGGTCGGTAGAGTGCTTGCTTAGCATGCACAAAACCCTGGGCTCCATCCCCAGCACTGCAGAAACTGGGCATGCTGGTGGACACCTGCAACCCTAGCACTTGAGAGGTGGAGATCAAGTTCAAGGTCATCCTTGACTACGTATTGAGTTTGGAGGCAGCCTAAGCTGTCAGAAAGGGAGCCTTGCACACCAGTAACCCCAATACTTAAGAGGCTGGATGTGGACCAATCAGAAGTTGAGTCATCCCCAACTGCATAGTAAGTACATGAGACCTCTCAAGAAACCATAAGATACTGCATCGGCCTTTGCCTGCCATCATCCCAGTGGGCACTCACCATATACTCCATGTTGGAGGCAGAGGGATATACCTGACCTCGCAGCTTGTTGTGCAGCATGAGGATCTCTTGGCGGTCGGACCAGGGGATGGCCCTGCGCGCCCGGGAGTGTGGCTCGGCCTGCTGGTACTTGCTCAGCAGCTTCTCCAGGCTCGTGGTGTTGGGGAGGAAAAAGGCCTGTGCTCCACACACCAGCAGAACCAGCCCCATTGGGACCACAGTATTTAGAAGACAGCTCATGGCCCCACGCTTGCAGCCACGCTAAGGGGACAGGGTAGCCTGGGCTCCTGAGGCAGGGCTGGGTACCAGAAAGTTCTGGAAAGAAAAGAGGAAACAGGAGACAGCAAGTTAGAACTAAGTCAGCTCTGCCCAACACCACCAAACCAGCATAGGAAGGGCTCCGTCCCTTTGGCCAAAGTCTCCCGTAGTCTTTGCTCACACAGAAACGCCTGGTATGTACCTGTCCTATGGGCTTGGGACTGTCAGGAGCAGGGTAAACAGAGGCGGGGAGGGGATGGAAGGTGAACTAGAGTTTCTGAGAGAGCTGCTGCTGTCCCAGGAGGCAGGGCAGAGTCAGGGTGCCCTGACAAAGTCACAGTTCTCACCTCCCACCCTGGAAACTCTCCAGGGTCCCATCAGCGGCTCTCTAGTACATCAGAGTCAAGCCTGCCTGCCCTGCTCAGCCAGAGGACCATGGAAGGCCCACTGGGTGCAACGGCCCAGCCACAAAGAATGTAGAACATTCAGAGGGCCCAAACCCTCTCAGGTCAATCACTGCTATATAGGTGCATCCCCACCTGCACATAGTCAGGTCAAAGTGACACACCAAAACATGTCACTGCCTGTCCAGCCTGGGACCGTGGCAATGCCCCATCTGTGTTGCTTTGTACTGGAGTAGCATGAAGGGTAGGGCCCAGAGGCCCAGAGCATGGATTGCCATGTGACACTACTCTGTTCAACCAGATGAAAACCTAGGCCTAACTGAGGCATACACAATCAAAGTACAATCAGTAAGGGGAATAGTAAATAGACTGGTGACAAGGAAGGGAAAACGGAGTGGAGAATTACACAGCGGGTAAAAGGAGCCAGATAGGGTTATGCTTTGGTCTTAATAAATACAGCATGGAGCCGGATGGTGGTGGCGCACGCCTTTAATCCCAGCATCAGGAGGCAGAGGCAGGTGGATCTCTATGAGTTCGAGCCCAGCCTGGTCTGCAGAGTGAGTGCCAGAACAGCCAGAACTGTTACACAGAGAAACCCTGTCTTGAAAAAAACCAAAATAAAATAAATAAAAAAGAGATCAGGACACAAACACAAGCAGAGGGACAAGCATGGAAGGACACAGAGAGATGGTGCCACCTGTAAGCCAAGGAGGACCCCAGGAGGAGCCAGCTTCACCCACAGCTCCATCTCTGCTTCCTGGCTTCAGGTACCATGACTGGCATGTGAATTGTGAGACCAGGCCACAGCAGATTAACTACACACCTGGCAATACAGAGGCAGGAAGAGGTGTGTCTCAGGTGTTGCTGGGCTGTAGCTATAAGGAACAAGAGGGAGGGAGAAAGACAAGAGACCCCACGACCTGGTGCTTGGTGTCAAAGCAGTAAGCCACAAGCATGGTACACAGGGACATGCCCATCATCCCAGCCTATGGGGACCATTCCCCATTCATTACCCAAACAGCTGCATCAAAACTAGAGTCAGGGCCAGATGTGGTAGCATATTCCTGCATTCTAAGGCTAAGGCCAGAGACCACGAGGTCAAGGCCAGCCTGGAGTATATTTTGAGTTCAAGACCAGCCTACACTGCTTGACAAGATCTTGTATCAAAATAAAAAACTAAGAGGCTGGAGAAATGGCTCCGTAGTTAAGAGCACTTGCTGCCCATTCCTTGGTACTGCATATGTATATCAGCCTTTTCTACCATTTTCACCTGTGTGTGATACGTGCTTGTCATGGGGTACACAGGGAGGTCAGATGACAACTCACTGTAGTCGGTGTGGGCCCCAGGAATCAAACACAGGTCATCAGGCTTGGACACAAGCACCGTTACCCACTTATTAAGTCTTTGCACGGGCCCCAAACCTTTTGTGAAGGAGGCACACATGCTGTCCTGGATCACCAGAACTGAGCAACGACGAGCTGATTCGGACAAGGAACCTTGGCGGCTTCTAGAAGGAGTCCTGCCCTTCTCTAGTTGCCGTGTGAGCCCCTGGCTGCCATGGCTCTCCATTACCCAGAGCTGTGGTCCTATGATTCTCATTCTACAAAAGGGACAGAGCTTGAGTTAAGATGGTTGTCCATCCTCTGGGATACTCGCCCAGGACATGCCCCTCCTTGGCAAACACACACGCAGTACCATCTGTGCTGTGTCCCTGACACGCTGTGAGCTGCCCTCTCCAGCTGCGGCCGCATCCTCATTCCCTCGGCCTTTCAGCTGGACACAGTGGGGCACGGGGCCCCAGCTCCCCCAGCGTCTGGGATAAGACTCACATTCCTGGTATCTTCTCTCTCACCTGCTTCTCCCTGGCCTCACCAAATTCAATACCCTCACCTCTTTTCTTTTCTCTTCTTTCCTTTTCTGCATACAGTGTGCATGAGTGCGTATGTATGTCCCCACATGTTTGCATGCATACCCACAGGTATCCACGCATGTGCAAAGGTTAATGTCAGAGGTCTTCCTCAATCCCTCTGCACCTTATCTGTTGAGGCAGAGGCTCTTGTTGCTTCATCTAGTCTGTGAAGTCAGCTTGCTCCTGGGATTCCGCCTCTGTCTCCTGTGTCCTGGTATTACAGTGGCTGCCACACCTGCCCCAATTTTACAGTGGTCCTAGTGACCCGAACCCTGGTCCTGACGGTTGCACAGGGATCTATTTACACACTGAGCCATCCCTCTGACCCTCAATACTATTTCTAGAGGAGCCTCCCCCTACCAACCTTCCGACACTCTATTGCTCACCAACTTAGACTGCCCCCTGGGGGGCTGCAGGCCCACACAGCCAAGAGGATCTCTGCATGATCTCGCTCTCTTTTGCTAGAGTTACCAAACAGAACTCAGAAGACCCCAGGGAGCTAAAACATCCAGTTCCCACAATAACAAGGCAAGAGGGATACAGGAAGCTTAGACCATGCTTTAGGATTCCAGGGCCAATGGTGAGACTCGGGTTGTGAAATCAACTCTGCTGGAATGCCTACATTCCTAGGGCTGGGCATGCACTGGGCCATGACTGTGGATGGAAGGTCTGCAGCCCCATTTTACAGCAGACAAAGCTGAGTCCTGTACGCATTAAGAGGCTTTGGAGTCTGGGTGGCCAGTTGGAGAGAGAACCAGGGCTGGAAACCCAGCTTCCTCAAGGCTTGAGGACAATGCAGCTGCCGTCATATTAGCCCTCCAGTGACCCCACCAGTCCCGGATGGCACTTGATGCCATTCAGAGCTCTAAAAGAGGTTTTGTTGAAAAGCCAGCAAAGCCCCTGGTCCAGAAATGAGGGGCCAACGGGGAAGGTTGTTGCATCATGCGGCCCAGCTGCTCTGTGTTTGAGGAAGCCTGCCAAGAAGATGTCAGAGCTAAGACACCAGCTGCTGGCCCGGCCTCTGCACACGCTGTTCCTTCAGCCCAGCCCCTGACCCCAGCATGCCCGCTGCCAAGCCCGCCAGTGAACTTCTGCTCACCATGGGCTCCCCTTCCTGGAAAGCCTTGTGGGAATTAATCACTCCATAGACCTGTCAGCCTGCTCACCACCGAGTCCCAGAGCCTGTCTGACACATCTCTGCTCAATAAATATTTATGGAATGAACGGGGAGGGGCATGCCTCCTCCGTTCTGGATCGGAGGAGCCATATAAGGACTGTGGTCCACGGTGGACTCTATTGGCTGTATCTTGGGCTTCCAGGAAAACAGAACCTGGGTTCAATCCCTGACGTTGCCCCCCACCAGCTGTGTGGCCTCAGACAAAGCATCCAGCTTCTCAGGGATGCATCTACATATACAGGGAGGCTCTCTAAGTCCCACATCTTCGAGTGATAGACATAATGAGTTAGTCCTACTGGAAACACAACGCAACAGGCTTTCAAAGGCTTAGACTGGGACTCAACTCAGCCAATAGGGTGCCTAGCCTCTTGGTTCCACCCCCAACACAGGAGGTAGAGGCAGGAAGATCAGACATTCAAGGCCATCCTCGGCCACATAGTAAATTTGAGACTAACCTAGGCTACATGAGACCCATTCTCAAACAAACAAACAAAAGAAGGCAGTTGGGACCAAGGGCTAAGAGGGGATAGGTCTCTGTGTAACTGTTACTTCAAAGTCTTATCTTTGCCTTAGCCAAACGGAGCCTTAAAATCGTGTTAAACATCTCATGCTTGAGAGAAAGGAAGCCCCAGTATTCTTGACTCAGGTATAGCTCAGGATAGCCTTCAGCCTGAGCTACATGGCTCTCTGGGGAAAAGGTCCCAGGACATAGGGCCAGAGGGTCAGTGTCACCGCCTGGCTCGGAACCACCCAGACAACTGTGCACGGATGTGAAGCTCAGCATCTGAGAGCCTTCTCCTCTGTCTGTCTGGGAGCTGGGTCCCCAGTATTGGGTCTGCACTGCGCACCTCTCCCGCTAGCTGCCCACAGCAAGCTTCTTACGTGTTAGACACTCAAGCGGACGGCCTGTTCTGTGGCACTCCCCCATCCCTTTGGTGCACATGTGCCACTGTGGCCAATTTCATGCTCCCGATCCGCGTGAAGTCACTGAAGACAGTGTCCATAGGAAAAATCACCGCAGTTGCCCACCGGCCATCTGCCAGCTCAGGGCACAGACAGTGAGATGCAGCCCAAACAGCCTGAGCCATAAGACTCTGCTGCCTTTGGTTCAAATGTGCCTTCTTCAAGTCTGTGTGAATTAGCCTTCATGGAGGTGCTGTTATCTGATTTGCGAACTATCAGGAAATTGTCAGCCCCCACGAACTGATGGCTCAGTCCTGGCACACTGAAGACTGGTGAGTGCATGACCATGGTGATGACCTGGCCGAGGTGTGACGGGTGGGGATGGCCCAGTGGGTGCACGCTCCTTCATTTCTGGAATCTCATGTGTCATCATCGCCACAATGGATGGGGTCACTGATTTTACAAGCCCATTTCACAAAGGAGGAAGCTAAAGACAGTAACAGCCCAGCCACGGTCATAGGGAGGCCTGAGGGGCAGGGCCAGTTTACTCCTTATACTCCAGCCTCCCGTTATCCATCTCACCCAGGCAGCCACTCTGTCCCACTGCCCCACATGGATGCGATGCCTCAGCCCAGAGCCCTGAGTGGACAGCCACTGAGCCCA